TGTGTGTGTGTGTGTGTGTGTGTGTGTGTGTGTGTGTGTGTGTGTGTGTGAGACGGTGTCTGACCTCCACATGAGCATCTGGTGGACGGTGGGCTGCAGGTGGAAGATGTGATTACTGACGGCCAGGTTGTGTTCCAGTTTGAACGGCTCCAGAACCACACCGTCCCGAACCGGGAACATCAGCCGGAGCTCCTCGTTAGGGTTACCTAGGAAACAAGAGGGAGATTAAGCCTATTTAATGATTCGATATTCTTAAAAGTGATGTCATTAAATATTAACGTTGCATATGTTTTTTTTAATTGTCCAGACTGATGTTAAATGCTCTTCTGAAATAACTCAAAACTTCTTGATTTACTCGAGAAGGTAAAAGAGGTCTTGTTTTCTGAAAAAGTATACATTTTTGCTTACAACAAGAAAAAATATCTGTCAGTGGGGTTAATATCTTAATTCATTTTGTTTCTCAAGTAAATGCATCTTGATTTAAGAATGTTTAGGTGTTTGTTCTGGAAAACAAGACAAAAGTATTCAGGAAAATAATTTATTCCGGCCAAGATGATGTACGGTGACGGCCGGAAGAGGCTCATACCTGGAGCAGGCGGCAGTGCATTAATGTTGGGCTTGATATCAGGAGGAAACGGGGGCTTCATGTCCTGGTTTGGTGACAGATACGGTGGCATATTACTTCCTGGGGTCACGGGGGGCGTGGGGTCACCCGGCAACGGAGAGTGAGGGTAACTGCCCATCGGCCGCGGAGGCTACAATCACATCAGATGAAAATGTAAACATCTGAAACCATGAATATTATATATTGACTGGACATCAAACTAACATACCGCACTGTAATGAAAGTTTCCCGTGCTGAAGTTACTGCTGGGTTCCTTTAGCAAAGACAGAGAGAAAGACACTTTCAATGAGCTTGCCAGTTGTTTTTGAAATGTAGAAACATGAGTCTACCTAATAATTTGGCTATATAATATTAAAATATATTTTAATAAAATTGCCAATTTTATTATGAAAATATAAAATATATTAGAATAAATTATTATTGTTTTAATAATTATTATTATTATGAAACAATACAAATATATAATACTTTAAAATAGTAGTGTGTAGTCCATTTTTTATTGTAGCAATCATTTTCTCATACTTTTATTGAAATTTAATATAATAAATTATTATTAATTTTATATATATGTAAATATTTGTCTTATAAAGTCTAACATAAAATACATAATAATAAATTATTTTATTACTATTAATAAATAGTAATAAAATAAATGTTTATAATACTATAATAAATTAAATGTAAAAATGATACTAAATTAAAACAGTGCTGTCGTCCACTATTATAGTTACTTTTCATTGTATCAATCATTTAATCATATTTTTTTCAGAATACATTATTATTAATTTTATATAAATATAATGTTTATATATTTGTATTATAAAATCTAACATAATAAAAGACATTATAATAATGTTTAATAAATTATTAATTATATTATCATAATAAAATTCTTTTAAGGAATTATAAGTAATTAAAATCCAGTATTACAGTTAGCTTTAGTATCAAGTCTCAATTTATTTATAAAGCACAATTAAAAACAACTACAGTTGACCAATGTGCTGTACAATGTTGTAAAAGACTTATTAAAAAAACATGTATCCAAACCAAGCAAACATCAGACAAGAAACAACATCACAAGTCACAGGCTGCAGGGAAGAGATACGTTTTTAACTTTGATTTAAAAGTATGTAATGTTAATGTATCAATCACTCTAAATAATAACCTCTAATAAAACAATCAGTAATCAAATATTGTGTTATTAAAAGAAGGTGTCTGATGTTAGTGGAGGACCTTGCAGAACTGTCCCATGCCGCAGGCCTGGTACTGTCTCTGAGCTGAGGAGAGGCGAGGATACTGACCCTGCTGAGAGCAAAACAGACCGTTTGGTCCGTACTGCGGCCCGTAGCTCCCCTGGAGAAAAACAAACACCTTCAGTCAAATCTCAAGCAGATACAAGAAAAAAGCAGTGTTAAGTCGCTGGGGGATATTTGTAGCAATAGCCAACAATACATTGTATGGGTCACAATTATACATTTCTCTTTTATGCCAAAAATCATTAGGATATTAAGTAAAGATCATGTTCCATGAAGATATTTTGTAAATTTCCTACCGTAAATATATCAAAACTTAATTTTTGATTAGTAATATGCATTGCTAAGAACTTCATTTGGACAACTTTAAAGATGATTTTCTCAATATTTTGATTGAGAACCATACATCAATGGAAAGCTTATTTATTCAGCTTTCAGATGATGTAGAAAAATTGACACTTAAGAATGGTTTTGTGGTCCAGCGTCACATATGCTTATTAACTGGAACTGTATTTTTTATTAAGAATAGAGACAAAAGGCATGAATGATGATCGGTATTTTGCATATTCAACTAATATAAAATTAAAACACCAAAAATAATCAGATTTTTATGATTTTATAT